CTTCCCTTCCCTTCCCTTCCCTTCCCTTCCCTTCCCTTCCCCTTTCAAAGTCTGGTCTCCATCCCTGCCTGATATATATAAGATCATAACTCACTATACCACTGGGAGACTCTTGACTTCTCATATGGCAAAACAGTTTCACATACCTCATGAAGAATCATTTTTAAAAAAATCTTTCAAGCATCACAGTACTTCAAATAGGTCATAAAATCTATTAAAAAAAAACCCAAAGAAATTTTTAAAAGCTGAAGTGCAAGTTTTTGCTTTTTCTCAGAAACCAAAATAATCAAACAGAATAGTTGGTAAGAACTAAAAACATCTCTCTTATTTTCTCTCTTCCTGAAACTAGGGAAAACAATCACCCATCAAAGTAATCGAAATCACTGAAAGGATTTAGCTATTTGAACCACACTGTCAATTATAAACCTAGTTTCAAGTAAAAAAATCACCCATAATATTATTGTGAAGGCTACCTCTTTCATAAATTCATGTTAATTATATCCTAATATAGCTTTGAACTTTGTCTGAAGAGTTCAGATTTCCCTTCAAACTTTATATAACATTCTGATCTACAAAAGTTGTCTTGTCCACCTTTTTCAAATAGCATACCAAAGAATTATATGATTAAGTACTTCTTTTATAAATACTTAAGTGCCTGAATGTAGGCAATCCAAATTATATCACTTAAAAAGAACTGGATATTAAAAATGACATTGTCACAATGAAGTACCTTTTAGACTGAGGAAAAGAAAGATACATATTGGATCCTAGACTGTGTGCCAATCATAGGTCGAATTATTCTGTTCAGTGCTATTTTTGTGGGATTTTTTATATATATAAAGAGCTAAAGGAATAATGCTGAATGAAAAATAACCCTACCATTTAAAAAGCTCATCCTATTGCCATCACTGAAGCAGCAGGAAATTCAGCTGCTAATGAACACCTCTAACCTTAACTACATCTATGAAAAAATTTTCTTTACCTCACTAAGTATAACTGAGAGGGAGAAGGCTTACAGAAAAATTACACCTTCAAAAATATTATAGCCAAATGATAATAATTCCGCAAAAGAAGTTTGCACAAACACTTTTTGTACTACCCATAATAAGGCTGCAGCTTATCTGCTTCTATGTGAGCAAAAGGGATTAATGGATCTGATTGCAGAATAGTAATTAAAGCATTAATGCAAGATTAGGAAATGATAACATTTCAATCAAATCTAAACCAGTATATATATTATATAGTCCAGAAAAAAAAAATAATCTGAAAACCCTCTCTCCTGTCTTTCTAAAGGCTTACTCTCAATTAAAAGTATAACCAATTATTAAGCCTGTCACAAGCCTTCATATTGATCTAAGCATCCATCTTCATTTGAATACAACCAACTCTAAATGTTGTATTCTTGAGTTTCTGATATTCTTCAATGTCATCTCACATTTCTGTGGATGCATAAGAATGACTACAAAACATTCTGTAACTCATCTCGTTAGCAGCATGTTCTTTATGTACAGGCACAAATACTCAAATGCACCAGCATTCAACAGAAATGCAGTCCTCAGGTTCTATCTCAAAAAAGATCAATTTATCATCTCCCATATGAACCTCTCTCATTCTGTTTTTGTTTGTCCTCGTTTTCTCCTTATTAAAGGAAAATTGCAAAAGCTACATTTTTGTTACTGATTTATTTTGGTCAATTAATGAAGCATGCATGTTTTTAAAGATATAAGATTAAGGGATGTAGTTTTAATAAATCATACGAGTAGTTGGATAAGAATTGTATTTCTCTAGAATCTACCGCACATTTGCAGATTTTCTGAGTTAAATTCCTGGAAGACAGGTTTCCACAGTATATAGATAAATGTTTGAGAAGAGAATTAGAATATGAGAAGCACAGAAGATTTACATAATCAAAAGAAAAATAAACCATTATAGCCTAAACACATGAAGAGTAGTTTTAGTTTTGTTTGTTGTTTTTGTGTTTGTTTTACTTTTTTTCGCCAGCAAGGCAGCAGGAAAAGGACTCATATGTGTCTTTACAGTCTAACTTAGCTTTAAGTCTCTTCTGCCCTGTAATTCCCAGACAAAACCAGCTCCATCATAGCCTTTCCTTAATCCTAAATAGAAATCTGCAGAAGCCGGCTACAGGCAGCCTTCAGGAATACAATAGCACAGAGATGGAACTACCTAAAAACGGCCCTAAAGTAGAAAGTGAGGGAAGATGTTGACAACCCACCAGCCTGGTATGCATATTTAACCAGAGGAAATGCTCCTGAGATGTCCCTGGGACAGGAGCTGTGGTGTTCCATGCCTGGCATTCAGCAGCACAGCACATGTCTCATTTACAAAGCAAATGGAAGTACCTCATGTCTCTTCTTCATATAAATAATTCCTCTTCTTATAATTTTTATGCATTAATTACTTTGGGAACTCCCTTCCTCTGCTCCAAAAGTCAGGGACTGGCTGACCTTGTACAACAAAACTCTTTCACTCTTTATCTGTGTCATTCTAGTTCTTGATGAACCTCAATGGCTTTAAAGATGCTCTAAGCCACAACCAAGTCTAAACACATTCGCAAGACATACACAGTATAAAAACTGCAATTTTAATCAGTGTTTTTTTCTAACTAAATTTCCTAACATGGTATTAACATCCCTTCATGTGAGCACTTTCCAAAGTACTGAACTTTTTAAGGAGCTCTACTGTTCTTATGCCTTCCAACACACTGCTGGAAGTAACTGTTTAAAAGATTCTTTATTCATTTTAGTTAGCCAGGAAAATATTTTCTGTTATGTGTGTACTTAAGTAAAAATAATACACATGAAAAGCAATTTCTATATGGAACTTTGTCAGTATTTATCGCTGTATATATTTGCAAAAAGTGATACCATATTAACTTTTCTGATGCTTTACCACATAGGTCTGATTTAAAAAAATAAAAATAAAATTTAAAAAACTACTTTTTTTTTGCTACACATCTGTTCTGCTTATACTTTTCACAATGTAAAAAGAGCCTTAGGCATCTTCTATTTTAGGCCTATTTCATACAAGGTTTCCTTTTATTTTGCTTTCTTACGGCAGAACACATTCTAAACTACTCTAGAAAAGCAGCTAATTCGTTTTTGGGTAATGCACTATCGAAGCAATTATTGACTATGTTTCAAAGCCGTATTATTTGCCTCTTACTGCACAAGTGCTAACTTCAGTTTTTTAAGTGATTAAGATTGACAGTGACCTCCTCAAGTGACCATGAAGCACTGTACAGAACAGAACTCTCTTTCAAAGGCTCCACTGCCACTCAAACACAGTTATTACTTTTGTTAATTCATGGGAGTTGGCACCTTTGTAGACTAATGCAAGACAAACAAAATGACTCTGTCCCTAATCTTAATGAGGAACCCAACATCCAAAACCTTTCAAAAATTGTCTAGATGACTCTTGTGATGCTGTATAACAAATTATATATTTTTATTAAAGATACAAGCTGGGCTAAATTAAAGGAAGCAGGGAAGTGGAGACGTATCACTTCATCATGTATCTTTCTAATCCAAAACACATGAAAGATTCCACTCCCTCATTGGCAAGTTCAGAGTATGCTCCCAAGGCATGGTAATTGCCAAAGGGTAAAGCGTACCTGAAAGTACCACTAAAGTAACTGAGACCTTGACTACATCTGTCCAGTGACCAGCCTGAACTGTTATGTGACGGTTGTATGTGCTATGAAAACAAACCAAGCAGAGATAATTGTTATGGAGGGATTTCACCCAAAGCTCTGGGCTACACCTGACCTGCTCTAATGATTAGGTATGCACAGAAAAGAAACATAGAAACATAGATGAACTCCTAACAAATTTGTGCTCAGGTAACACATTTGGAGCAGGAAGCCAGGAGGTGATAGTAACCCACATAACAACGTCCAAATGGCTTTAGCTATGGAGAAAGTAAAAGAAATTGCCCTGGGGTGATGTGATCAATGAAGCTACTGATTGTTTATAACAAACAGGTATGTTAGAAAGCAACAAACAGAGAAAACCATAGCCCCTCATGGAGAACATCCTTGCACAAGAGATTCCATTCTCCTTATAAATACATTTTGTATTATATGCCACTAAGCAGTATGGTTCTGTCCCTCTGGCTACCTCACCTATGACAACTAATCGAAAATATTCAGTTCTGTAAGCCCCCATCATACCCAGTGGTTTAGTTTTCCACTAAGATGCTAAGCTTAGATGGCCAGCAGCATACCCAGAGACCCTTTGCATCGTACCTAGGAGAGGAATAGAGATGCACATAGTCATTTTTTGCAGCCTTCCATCAAGGAATGTCTGGGCCAGAAGAGATCCTGAGCTTTCCAAGGTTTCCACTGCACCTAGAGCAGCTACCTAGTGCCAGCATTGCCAAAAGTCTGCGATTGGTCTGTTTCAGTACTCATGAATCAATCAATTCTTACTTAGCAATTCTCAGAATTCAAATGACCCAGACCAGTCTCTCTCACGAGTGGTACTCGTTTTAAAGACCCTGCACCCAGAAAACAAACTCCCTTGAGGCCTCAGAACTTGTACTGTGAACCTCCTTCCCTATCCCAGCATAGCTCAGGCTGTTAAGAATGCTAATTAAGCTCCTACTGTCTGATAACATATGCACAACACTATTTTTACAGTATTATACAAATATTTAAAATGTTTTGACAGAGTGTGTTCTGAGAACATTTAATTAAATATCAAATGACTAAATCACAGGAGTTCTTTAGATGACACTGCAGCTGATATGCTGTATGTATTATAGCACAGGCACATGCTCAAATACAGTAAATGGTATTTCTAGTTTGTAAAATTACCAAAATGGAATTAAGAGATTCAATACAAATCAACGTTTCACTGTTTTGTGAGGATGAAACTTTGTAACATTATTGCTTTTGGTGTTCTCCTTACTTCTGTCTGAAAACACAGGCATATAAATCTGAATTTGTTAGTAGCTACTATAAAAAGCCAGTAGCAGGTAAAATATACTACTTGCCTCCAGCTTTCAAGAGATAGGATACATTGTTTTATGTTTATCACAGAGTACCATACAAGAAAAGGTACTTTTTATCTTTACATTACTTTTTATATTATTGACCTTTCTCCTCTTTGATCTTTCTCTAAATTATTGAAGCACCTAACACTAAATGTTTTGTTGCCATTGTAGAAAATAAATCAAACTGAACAGTCAGCC